TACCTCACCTGCAGCATTATAATTATTTCACCCGCGCCGGACAGAGACTGAGACGTGCCGCTGCATGTCGTGCCAAACCTCTCACGGCAGTGTCATCGGTTTGAGATCGTTTTTTTGAGAGCGGCCTTTATAGAGACCGCCGATCATACATCCCAACGTGATTATCGGCCGATAGTGATCGGTAGCTGATCAATCGGAGCACCCCTAAAAACAGCAATAAAACAGGCTTATTGACAAAAACACATTTATTGTTTGTATTTTATCATAAAATTGACAGAAGGCTGAGACTTTGTGTTATAATAAAAATTAACAAAGCACAAAGCTTATTGCGATTATTGGATGGCTTGCGTGCCACAAATTATGAATGGACTTGACAACGTTATCATTTCCAAGCATTTATACTGTAAATAAAACAGCTTGTGAATAGTCACGTAAAGTTATTTACTTCAGAAAAATCAACAATAAGATAAGTTACCCGAGTTGGAGCCCATAACATTTGGGGGGGGGGCTCATACAAATTTTTAGCATATGGGCCTGTGGCTGACTTGCTACCACTGTCACTGCTAATATGAGTATTTTTTTTTTTTAATATATTTGTTATCACTTAGATTATGGCCATTTGACTTATAGCAGTGTCCAGTGTTTCCCATACATTGAGTTATTTGTGGCGGCCCGTCACAATTTTAAAACTGACTGCCACAAATAGATTTTCCAAAAGGCTTATACTTCCTTGAATAAAAAGAGCACTGCACGTTTCAAAAATAAAACGCAGCACAGGTGTTTTTATATGACTGTCTTTGAAAAGAACCGACCGTCTTCAGAAAAGCTTCAATGTCATTTTCATTTCGTAATGCCTGATGATAAAGTAGCGTTTGTAAGTGCAGTGCTGATTTGATTACAGTCGTTACCGGGGAAACCGCTACATATCTCTCGCTCCAACAGCGCCTCATGCTGGCAGAAGAATGAATTTGCATTTGCAAGTCTGTGGGAAACACTGGTGTCTGTCAGCAAACATAAACAAAAAGCATGCTTCAGAACTGTTTTGAGAAGGCGCTTAAGTGTTGAGCCATGTATTATTACTATGAATTAGGCTACTACTACTACTATTACCATCTTGTGCCCTGCAATAATCATTTACTCAAACTCTCTTTTATGAGATAAAGGGGAAAAAAAGAGAAAATCGGCCAAACGTATCGGCCAAAAAAATCAGCATCATCGGCCATTTTATGCGCTGATTTCTAAATATTGGCATCGGCCAGAGAAAAACCCTTATCGGTCGATCTCTATTGCTGACACTTAAATTAATTGTTTTTTGCCACTTTTGCACTTGTTATTGGTGTATTTTGCATGCAAAGGGCACTTTATTTTTTCAACAAATTTGTGTTTATTTGTTATGCATTTTTTAAGTTTTGTAATAACCGATTGTTCCGGTCCGGACCTTTGACACTGATGAAAATTCAGATTTGGACCTTTCAATATAGACTTTGAGAACCCCTGCTGTAGATGATCTTTTGAAATTTTAAATCTGCAATAAACACACTTGGCCCTCCTTGGTTTTGCAGGCAACTTTGCGGTCATCTAATCTTTAAAACTAATTTTGAAGCCTTTAAAAGTTTGGTTTTAGTGTTTTGTGTGTATGTGTGTGTTGTATTTTTAATTTATTTAGACAAAATAGTGTAGAATTTTAATATCTTACATTTATCAGCCATATAACATAATAATAATTATCAGTTTATTGGTGTCGGTGACTGCATATTTCAATTCATATTTAACTTTACCCCTCCACTCTCTTCCCACAGTTGGAAATGGAAGATTTTAGTTGTCGATGAGGCTCACCGGCTGAAGAACCAGGAATCATTGCTGCACCAAACCCTCAAAGAGGTTACACGATTGCATTTTCATTGTTTTTACAGTCACTGTCAGTCTGTAAAACCCCTGATAATAAACCTAGCCTTGCCTGTCTATTTTTCAGCTTTCCCCTGCTATTAACTGCCATCTGACATCTGCCTTCTCAGTTTACAGTAGGTTTCCGAGTGCTGTTGACTGGCACCCCCATTCAGAATAACTTGCAAGAAGTCTATTCCCTCCTCACCTTCATCCAGCCCAGTCTGTTTCTGCCTGATGCTGTTGAGGACTTTGTTAGTGCCTACTCAGACGTACAGACTGAACCTGCTCTTGGTATGTTTGCACAGACCTTTGCACTTTCAGTGTAAAAATCAAACTGTTAGTGCTGAAAAGATCATTTATATCTGCTACCACCCTTATTAACACTTACAGCTGTTGGTTTCAGCAAATGTTAAAAATCCATAGTAGCTGCCATCATTGACCTTAATGTCTTTGGTTAGACAGTCATGCATTTAAAATCTCGTTTCTTTAACTGGTATTGCTTTAATTAATATTTGTGGTGAAAATTACTGTGCTGTGACTCACTGTAGCTGCTTATCACGAAAGCACCGATCAAACAGATCTAAGTGACACAGAAACATTGTAGAGGTTTGGTGCCAAACCTAACACATCAGTTAACTCCCTGACATGGCAGATCACAAAAAAGATGTCAGTTTCGCAATGCCAGTCTGGTGTAGAATAGATGCTCTCTCTCCTTGACTCACCTGTCAGATTTGCTTGAGGCTATCAAAGGATAGAGATCATAAATTCTCATATTTGGACTCGGGTGACCTTGTGTGGGAGTTTATAACATAGTTGTTCTTGTCTGCAGCCGATGAGCTTCATCGAGTGCTCCAGCCCTTTTTGTTGCGCCGTGTTAAAGCAGAGGTGGCCGCCGAACTACCCAAGAAGACAGAACTCGTGGTTTTTCATGGGCTGTCTGCCCTTCAGAAGAGATACTATAAAGCCGTTCTGATGAGAGACCTTGGTAAGTCTGCCCCGACATGAATCACCTGTCAAAATTGAATACTTAAGCAAAAGCATAAGTGTTCATTTTAGTGTTTTGATAATTTCAGATGCCTTTAGGACTGATCAAAACACTAAGACCCGACTTCTGAACATTTTAATGCAGCTCAGGAAATGTGTGGACCATCCGTATTTGTTTGATGGTAAAAACTCTATCACTTTTTTGTGTTTTTTCTGTATTCAAAAAAAACAAAAAAAAAACGAATTTTCTTTATTCTGAACCTTTTTCCATGTAAGGTGTGGAACCAGAACCGTTTGAGATGTATATATATATATATAATGGTTCTAATCAATAATTTCAGTTATCAGTATTGAAACATTTTAAGTACTGCCTTGTTAACCACAAAAGACTTCTTTCAAAATCCAAATTATTCCAAACTTTTGACCAGTAGAGTATAATAAACCTATGCCCATAACAATGATTTATATTGCTGTATGAACAGATTTAGCAGGAAATTGCATACGTTGTTGCATATACAGCATGTGACCCTGCACCACAAAACCAGTCTTAAGTCGCTTGGGTATATTTTTAGCAATAGCCAAAAAAACATTGTAT